GTTCCAAGTTAGTGCCTAAATATGGGAGCTATATAAACGTTTTAGTGCGGTCATAAATTTGAGCGCAACCGAGTATGGACGTGTCCGTGTGAGAGGGTGAAAGAATAGCGAAATGTCTTTGAACGGGATGACGAATGGAAAAGTTCGTTTCACCCCTCGAACGCATAAAACTTTTAAGCACGTTCTTTGGGGACCGTTTATCCGTTTCCCAACTTATTATATTTTTTCCTGATAGCAGGGCGACCTATGAACTTTGAACCGCCCTTCAGCCTAGACGAGATACGTTAAAGTGGCGGTTGCCTTTGATTAGGGACTCTTTAACATGTGCTGTTTTGGGATAAAATGCCCCACTTAAAGGATAAGTACGTCAAAGAAAATCAAAATTTCCCGACGTCTATTTTCCTATAGGATCTCATCCATTTCTTCTAACATAATAACACGCATCGGTACGAGGACAGAATTTTATGGTCATTTATAATAATAATTTAGTTACGACGTGTTTCCAGAATATAAGAGAAGTGGAGATAAAAGGTAACAATAAGAAGAAAAGCTTGGATGATTTCAAAAATAAGGATATTTAAAACTGGCTAAAACATAATTTAATTTTTACATTTTTTTAATTTCGAATTTTTCCTGAAAAACTGCAAGTATATCAAACTCAATTTAGAATGTACGTCCACTGTCTTAATTAAAAAATTATGATCGGTTTAAAACCAGCGATAATTATTGTGGGTCTCTTTCCTATATTGAATTATTGATGAAAATTTCGAAGTTTTTCATCTTACACAAATGTATTCATATGGCAAGTTCAATATAACACAAGAGAAATAAACTGACGGTAATAACATCAAAATCACACGTTCATATTCAGTCCATGATGAAGAAATTCTTTCGAAATCGGTTAACAGTGCAGCAATTATTCAGTGTACTTTACTTCTCCAGTCATCGGAAAATTCTAAGCTGGAAAGATGCAACTTAATTTTTAATTCAAAAGTATTAATAACATTTGTGAAAAAAATTGTCGAAGTTTATTTCGACAAAACTTCTCTCGCTTCTGAAGTACAAGTCCAAATTGCAAGGGATTGTGCAAATTGTACCAGTACAGACAATGTAAAATATATTTAAAGCAGATAACTAACGGGGGAAAGTGGCCTCTCAGCAGTAATGACAAGCTTTAATTTCAAGTGCTTGTTTGTACATCGAAAGATTGTCACGTAGAAATTTGTTTGATTTTAATGAGTTTGTCGCCTTAGAACAGGGGGTTAAATATATTAAGCCAGAACAGAATGTTCTGAATATCCTTATTATTATTATAAATTTTATTAAATAAAGATGTGCGTATTCTCACCGTTTCGAGAAAGTGGGGTGATTTGTTTCCAACGTTAAATAAAAATTCTCCTGAGTTACTAGATTCAGGTTTTACAGCCCTTCATCAGACTCACTCCTCACAATTTCTCTACGGACAAGCAAAGTTTTTTCGTAAACACTCACAAGTGAAAATTCCGTTAGTTTCATGAACAATTTAAAACTTTTCTTAGGAAAATTTTTTATAATATACAAATCCCCTAAACATTTTGACGTAAATGATGTTTCTTTGTCGCTTAATTTAGCTTACGACTTTAGCTAGACATTCTGTCTGAAAGACTGCTGATACTCTTACAAACTGCAGTTAACGTTTACAACTTCCTTAGTTCCTGCTACTTCCACATCTTTTGCAACGAAAACAGGACTCTATTTCACACTTCTAAAGTAAAGCAAACTACCAATACGTCACTTCATAAGTGGCCTTTTTGTCAAAATCTTGGAACGAAACTTCCCTAACTCACCGACTTTTAAAACTACAAAAATACTCACATTTCTTGCAATTACTGTCGGATTTTCCTTCCAACTAGTGTTTTTAATCCTCAGATTTATAGCCCAGTACATCTCGTCCTGCTAGCGGGAATAAAACGAGAGCTGTGATTAAAACTCGCAATAAATTCCAGCCGATTATCGTTTTTCCCTGCACCGTCAGCTAGTTGGTTCCATATTGAAAAACCTCAATTCATTTTAAACGAAAAACTAAATATATAAATAAAGAGGGGCGAACTCTATTTTCTTCCCCACAGACGCTTAATATGCAAATAGTCTATATTTCCCTAATAAAACAGCAGTATTTTCCAATATTGGAACGATTCCGCTGAACGAACATGACACTTTCGATGCTATTTTCATTCTCCAAGTTATGATGACCCCTGCCTATTTCATTCTTAAACGAAACATATGTGCAACGCAGCATAATAAAAGCATTTCGTTTTATTTATAGTGGCTTTGTAGACTAATGGTGTGCGTTTCGTTGTAACGAAGGTGTGTATGGTTGCTTTAAACTAATCAAATTTGCCTGAATTTATATCATTTAGATTTGTTTCAACTGCCAAGGTGCCTACGTTCGAGGATACTTTTGACAGCTGCTGGAAATGATATTTTTCTCTCAAACACTGAGTAATGATTTGATAAATCTATAGACTTCATTCGCGTTCCATGATGGATGAATTCACATTAATCGTCAGGTTTGCATATGCAGCTTTTGTAATTTACTACATAATAGTATCAATTAAAGTTATTATAGAGTGCTATGTATGCCACTTTAAATTAAAGACTAGAGAAAAACACAGCAATCACGTGAGAACACGAATTTTCAGTTGTCATGTTAGGCGTGATGCCAGTTTAATGTTTAAGTAGATGATGATACCTCACGACTTGTTTTTTTTTCTTCAATAATTGACGAAGCTATAATTTTTATGTTTGCAAAGTGTTGAAACAGTCCGTTATAAATTGCACATCAACACGTTTTGCGATTTTATTTTCACATGTTTATTGACCACGTGCATATGTGATATCTTTTGTCTAAAATTTGCAAAATTAAAGCAAGTTTTTACACAAACATAAACTTTATGTTAATAAATCACTGCAACAAATTTGAGTGGACGGTGTGAAAAAAGTAGGGTGGTAATGCTGTAATGGTTTTAAATACTGTAACAGTTGCAAAATCAGGCTTTTTTAATGGAAATATCAAATTTTATTTGACACCTTGTTCAATTTTTATTTTGTTAAGTTTAATAATAACTAACGAACATCTGGACGAAGAGACAAAGGCATTTATCAGAAGTGTGCCGCAAGCACCATAGGATAATACACCTACATATGTTCCAAGAACTAAAGGTAATAATTACCCAATAGAAATTAAAGAACTTATATCTAAAAAAACTCAGAAGAATTTGATATCACACAACGGCTCCAAATGATAAAACTACCCGATGTAGATATTTACAAAATATATATCTAAATAAAATAAAAATTTTAACACAAATTTCGAAGAACCCGTGTTATTAAACTCACCTATATAATTAAACATCTCAGATTTAGGACATGACATGACCAAAACCACAAGCCTGGAAAACCATCAACGAGGTTACGTTTTATAGACTAATTTCAGCATTACCATTAATTCGAAACTGTTCGAAGGTTACTGAAGAAGCTGAAGTCCATTACGGAATGCATCAATTTGACTTTAGAGAAAACGACTCAACTGTAGACCAAATCTAGGAATAATAAATGAAAAATTATTTGAAGAAAGAAATCTGTTATGCCATTTTCCTCCACGTAAGGCGAGCTTTTGGTAAAGTGTCACGAATTACTTCAATATAAGCTGAATAAACTATTGCTGAGAAAATATGTCAGGAACAGCAGGAATCATACATCTCAGATAGAGGTTTAGAACCAAGCAGGTAGACGCTTATAACAAATTAAAAGAAGTCAAGGCAGGAGTACCGAAGGCAGTATATAAAGATCATCAGTCCCATTTGTTATATATTACATCTGAATTACCGAATGACACGATACGATAGTCACTTTTACTGATGATACTACCATTCTGGTTGTACACAAAGAGCATCAAGAGGGAACAAGAAATTTGCAGACATTTATTAATCGAATTAATGAGTGGACCAAAGATTGAAGAATTAAGGAATATCTGTTCACAACGACTCTACAAATATAAAGAAACAATAGCAATACATTTGGGTATTTCATTGGACGCAAAACTACGTGGGAAGGTACACGTAAAAAACCACAATGTTACAAAATGAAATAATGTAGCATTTTTTTAAATTCAACAGCAACCAGTCGCAAAAGTTGCGCGTCCTGAATACAACTAATGACTTTAAATAGCTTCAAGTCATTAGTATAAAGCAAATAGTTCGAGTGTTGCAAACAGCTAATTAGGTCATTTATAAACAGTAGGAATAGAATAGGTCCACAATGTGTACCTTGAGGTACACCTGAGTGGACTGAAAAAGAGCAGAGACAAAGTTGCTAATAGGGACCTGTTGACTTTTATTCAATAGGAAAGACGATAACCATTTAACCGTGTCATTTTTAAAGCCTAATTTATGTAACTTTGATATTAGAAATCTATGACTAACACGATCAAAAACCTTGCAAAATCCTCATACACGGAATCTACTTGATAACGCTTAGCAACTACTTCGTTCAGTATAGACCTGTATTCGAGAAGATTCGATAACGTTGATCTTTTATTACAAAAACCGTGTTGTTAGCTGATATAATTGAGGAGAATATCCATGGGAGCTGCTTAGTTACAATAAAATCTAGTAATTTAGGAATCCGAGACTGATTGCAAACGCCTCTATAGTTATCAACCATATTATTTTCTCCAGATTTAAAAATTGGTATGTAACTATTCTTCCACAACTCAGGAAAAACGCCTTCTAGTAACGAAGTTTTAAATAAAGTCAACAGTATCTGCAGTTTTTCAACACTATGTTTGGAACACCGTCTGGACCAGAGTTATACGTTGATTTCAAATTAGAAATGGCATCAAATATACTATCCTCAAACATATTTGGCGTTTATGACTTCACACCAATTTGACTCCCATTATAATTCAATAGGCCGTCACAACCGGATGTCTTAAACCAGGGACGGTCGAGACGCGAAGGACTGGACTCAGAGTAATTTTGTTTGTTAAAATTTTCAAATTTCAAAATTTCCTTACAGAACATGATTTATACTTTGAAGAAAATTACACAAAGACACAATTATTAGAAGTGTTACATACTCGAAAATTTGAGAAACAATATAAAATAGATGCTATGGCGCGAGATCGTGGATTTAGGGTGATTAGACTTCCGCCGTACCATTGTATATTTAACCCCATCGAACTAATCTGGTCGCAAATGAAAAATAATATAAGAAGGAATAATACGGCACCAAAATTTAGTAGTGCAACAATTGACATAATTAGGGAAAAAGCTTCCAAAATAACTGCCAAAATGTGGGCCAATTGTGTACGACATTCCACAAAAGAAGAAGACCAGTACAGGGCACGGTTGATAACACCGTTAATTATTAATTTAGAAGAGTCGAGTGATGATGACAGTGACTATTTCGATCAATAAATAAGCAGTAGTAGTTAATAAGTAAATAGTTGTGCTGTAATAAAAAATGATTGAGTACAAAGTTACTTTGTTTTTACTTAAAATAAAAAACTCGAAAGGCGCAGTTGTCGGTAAATGCAAAACTCAGTCCTGCCCTGTGCTTTTACCAGAAAAGGTCTTTTCAGGTAGGTATCGGTGAGCGGGTTTAAGACATCCGGTTGTGACGGCCTATTGAATTATAATGGGAGTCAAATTGGTGTGAAGTCATAAACGCCAAATATGTTTGAGGATAGTATACATCAGAAACCTCCACTCACAAACCAACATCATTCACCTGACCCAAACAATCAGAGTCACAAACAAATGTTCTGCCATCATCAATTGTATAAACAGAAGAAAAATAATATTTAGCAAAAAGATTACATATTTCGTTTCCACTTTTAGCATACTGCATGTCTAGCTTCACTTCCATTGGGATATTGATGTGATTAGTATTTCTATTCTTATAGCGAACAAATTTCCAAAAAAAAATGGATTGTTTAAAATGCTCCAATCGACATCAGAAATATAACAAGATAATAACTGTCTGGTCAGCTCTTTAAATCGAGCCCTTAGAAATTTCAAAAATAAATATTCCTCATGCTTTTCAGTTAGCTTATAGTTCATATGAGATGCTCTTTTTCTCCTACAGAGGACTTTGAATTCACTACTGAACTATCTAGGGTAACTAAATCTCCTGTATGTCCTAAATGTGCTGGTCCTCATCAACTTAAAGAATGCGAGTCAGATTTTTACTTCCCGAGCGTAAGCAAAGGAAGTATTGTAATCGAGACCGTCGGTCGACTCTCTACTTTTACGTTTTCTCGATCTTTCATGACCCCTAGAAGACGAAGAAATAGGTCTCCCATTTCCGTCTGTCTGTCCGTCTGTCCGTCTGTCCGTCTGTCTGCCGTCCCCGATTTTTATTAGACGGATAATCTCCGAAAGTACTGGACCGATTGTTGTGAAATTTTGTACTTATATTAGGAATATCATGTAGATGGTAAAACGCTTACCAAAATTTGTCTAATCATCCCCACCACTAATACGATGACATCACTTCAAAATTGTACATAGTAAATGTGTTTTAAATTGTATAAAATAACATAGTCCTACACATGTAGTTTACGACTCCGAATTGAGTTTTTACCCGAAACGTCCAGATTTTTGGAAAAAAAAATCAAAATCATAAAACAACATTTTGCAATTTACTTTTGAATCTGCTACCCCGAATGTTTTGAAATGCTGCAGATGTTTTAAGGCTATTAAGAGCATCATAAATCTTTAGTCAAAATATATTTGGTTATACCCTCCAAAAACTTGATGACGTCAGCTCAAAAGTTTGCCGAATAAATCCTATCTAAAATGTACAAAATATGATGAGTCTGTACTTGTGATCTATTACCCCATTCATATTTTTTGGATTTGCCTATACAGGGTGACTCAAAAAAATTAATGAATGCGTAAAGTTATTTTACTGATTTACTCAGGAACTACAAAATGAAACGCTTTGAAATCTTGCAGATGTTTTAAGGTTATAAAAAGCGTAATAAATGTTTAGTCAAAATATATTTGCTTATCCCCTCCAAAAACTTGATGACATCAGCTCAAAAGTTTGCCGAATAAATCCGGTCTAAAATCTACAAAATATGATGAGTCTGTACTTGTGATCTATCACCCCATTCATATTTTTTGGATTTGCATACACAGGGTGACCCAAAAAAAATTAATGAATGGGTAAATTTATTTAACTGATTTACTCAGGAACTACAAAACTGAATGCTTTGAAATTTTGAAGATGTTTTAAAATTATCATAAGCATGGTAAATTTTTGATCAAAATGTATTTGGTCGTCCCCCTAAAAACTTGATGACGTCACCACAAAATTTTGCTGAATAAATCCTATCTAAAATGAACAAAATATGGTGATTCTCTTGTTGTGATTTATCATTCCATTCAAATTTTTTCGATTTGCATATACAGGGTGGGCCAAAAAAATTAATGAATGCGTGAATTTATTTTATTGAGTTAATCAGGAACTACAAAACCGCATGCTCTGAAATCTTGCAGATGTTTTAAGGTTATAAAAAGCATAATAAAGGTTTAGTCAAAATATATTTGCTTATCCCCTCCAAAAAATTGATGACGTCAGCTCGAAAATGTGCCGAATAAATCCTATCTAAACCGTACAAAATGTGATGAGTCTGTACTTGTGATTTATCACTCCATTCATACTTTTTGGATTTGCATATACAGGGTGACTCAAAAAAATTAATGAATGCGTAAATTTATCTTATTGATTTACGCAGGAACTACAAAACCGAATGCTTTGAAATTTACTGCGAAAAGAAAACATAATAGGCATGCAGTCGTCACGTTTCCAACAGCGAGGGAAGTACTGTCTAAACTCTTTAGACCAATTTTTTGAAGTGCACTCACTGTAATTCTCTTAAAGAAAAGAATCCTGACCATTGTGATAACCACGCGTCGTATGATATCAATAAATGTCCTGTGTTTCAAAATACATACCTTCTCAGTGTCTTAGTAATAATTATATTATTTTTTTTCAATTTCCTTTTGTCTTTATCTTTTTTGTATGATCATCAATTAATTATCATTGGAGATTTTAATTGTCCAAATTTAGTGCAGTCAACTTTAAATACAATACCATTGTCAACTTTGTATCAATGCATTAAAAGTTTTGTCTCTTTTTATGATTTGAGGCAGAGTAACAATGTATTAAATAGCAATAATCGACTTTTGGATCTTATTTTTATCAATAATGACACTCAATGTATTATTGTACGTCTCTGTGATGATCCTTTATTACCTGAAGACGGTCATCACCCCGCTCTCGAAATGGATATAAAAATGCACATGTTTGAGCGCAAGAAATTTCCAACCTCAATTGAGTCCGATTATAACTTCAGAAAATGAAATTTTTGTATTTTGTATGACACACTTTGTTAGTAGACTGGTCATTTCTCTACAGTCATACCAATGTTGACGATGTTATTTCTAGTTTCTACCAGGTATTAGATGAAATTTTTCAAGCTTATGTTCCAAAGAAAAAAAATGTTTCAGGTAATTATCCCGTTTGGTTTAACGGCAATGTCATTAGGGCATCGAAACAAAAAATTTCTGCTTGGAAAAAGTACAACAAAACTAAATCTCCATATGATTATTCCACATTTAAAACTCTGAAGACACAGTTAAAATATATAATTAAGGAAGCTTACAAGTTGTACATGCAACAAATGAATCATTGTGTTAGAACCGATCCTAAAAGGTTCTGGGCATTTGTAAATGCAAAAAGTCAGATCCTATTCCATCTAAAATGGTATACAACGATTTAAATCTAACCAACCCCAGTGATATAGTTAATTCCTTTGCCGATCACTTTGCTCAAACATTTATTAACAGGAATCCATCAGTTAAGTTGTTACAGCTTAAATAAAAACTTATTAAATATTAGGAGCATTAGTGAGGAATGTGTGTGCAAAGCTATCAAAAAATTGAAACCTAAAATGACCAATGGGCCCGACCAAATACCGGCTTTTGTGGTAAGAGATTGTGCAAATGTGTTTACTGATCCGTTGACTATTCTTTTTAATCTTATTCTTCAGACATGTGCTTTTCCTAAAAAATGGAAAATCTCTCGAATCTGTCCAGTTTTCAAAAAGGGAGAGAAAGCAAATGTGGAAAATTACAGGCCAATAGCTATTATCTGCGATATTGCAAAAGTGTTCGAGATAGTATTGCATAATCTCTTTTCAAATCATATATCTCAGATACTTTCTATGAATCAGCATGAGTTCATTAAAGCTCGCTCCACGGAGACTAATCTTATTTCAATTACTCAATTTTTATGTAACTCATTAGATAACCAGCGTCAAGTCGATCATAGTTACCTTCGGAAAAATCAAAAATGTGCATTTCGGATTTCGGAACAGATTTGGAGGGCACACACCTTGAGAATGGAGAGTGATGAAAGTTTTGAGGAAATATAGGATCCACGGCAAGAGGTACTTCAAGATTACTAATGTTAGTAAAGGTAATATTCAGAAATACACCTCTGCTGTTCGGGATGTTATTAACTTGCTTAAGGTTCATAAATGTACAAGTAGTATTAATAACATCATGGAATTCTTGATAATGAGAATGTAAATTTATGATAACTTCACGTTTATTCCCATCAAACAAAAGCAAGTTAAAATCACCAGCTATGACGAATCAGGAAATTGATCAAAAACTGATTCCAAGTCACTACAACAATATTCATACATTCGTAACTGAGACTTCGGTGGGATGTACACTCGACCAACAATCAAATGCAACTCGTTAACTTGTAAATGGATAAAAGTACTCTCGACAGAGTACCCAACCAAAACAACAGATGCATAAAAATCCTTTCTAATTGCAATTAGAACACCACGTCCCCCAAATTTTATCACTACTAGTAGGGCTACGATGAACGCAAAATACATTGAAATTATTTAAATTTAATTCTTTATTAGAAATTTCACCACAGAGCCAAAATTCAGATATAATTAAAATAGCATTAATACTGAAATTCACATTAATTAATAGAAGAATCCTTAATCTTAGACCTTAGACTGCCAACGTTCTGATAATAAAAATTAGCTACTTTTTTGAGACTTGATTTCTGGTGGGTTTTTTTTATTAATAAATAGCTGGTT